GGCAGGCGAATCACCCAGGTGTCTGGCCAATAGATAGAAACGGGTTTTTGGGGGTTTAAAAAATAAGAAATCATGACGTTTTGGGGTGTGCAACGTAGTGTCATACTACAAAAACAAATTCAGCAATAAAATGAAGAAGCCTAGAAAGTGCCTGCTGTAAGCAGGAAGGGTTTTTGGCAAGTTCTGGTAAATAGACGGTTGGGCACCTGTTTGTTCAGGTGCCGGTTTGGGGGGCTTAGGTGAGATCGGTAGAAGGGGGGGCCCCGATGGGCTTCTTATGATCGCTTTTCTATAGGAAAAAAGTGGTATAGATCCGCGCAATAATGGCAGATCAGCCGAAGGCGGAAAAATGGGGCGCGGAAGGAGGGGTGTTAATGGATATTGTTCGAAAAGACTGTCCGTGCACCTATTACAATCTCGATTGGTCGTATAATAAATTGAAACGAGCATGATTTACGTATAAATTCTACGGAAGGGTTTTAAAATCGCAAATTTAGTGAAGCTGGTGTGCCATTGGTGAGTTCAAATGATCTGGATTTTGCAGTTTCCTTCAAAAGTTTCCAGCATGTCTTATTAAAATCAGAATAATAAGCAATCAATCTACAAAAATAATCGAAAATTATCATAGTTCTAATTACAGTATCCTACAGTCTATTTGCGGCAGCGGTACAGTATCCATCCGAGCCAGAATATCGAAAAAAATAGGACAAGACGAGGTGACTTGTTTAAGAAGTTATAAGAAAACAATAATGATAACAAAAATGTGAAGGTTAGAAAAAACAGTCTCCTTTGAAAATTTGAACTATTTTCAAAGTACAGGTCAAACTATCCATCCCTAGCGCCCCTAACCTTATCATTTTGGTCCAATCAACATTTGGCAGAATAAAGGTAAAGGTAAGTAAAAAAAGGTGAATTGTGAGTATAGAGGGCTAGGTTGGGGGTGGTGGTCACAATTGGAAAAGAGCACATCCACCCGCTCCCCCTTCTTCGTCCTCACCCTCCTCCTCCGGCTTCCAGCCTTCCCCGAGGCCTCTTTTTTCGAGCGGGGGTGTGGGGCAGTTTCAGCCTAGGCAAGGCCACCAGTCCCTCCATCCCTCCATTTCTTGCTCATAGCTCTTTTCCTTCTTCTTCTGCTCATCCTCATCCCTTCAACGAACCAACCCAGGAGGCTAGGCATAGCCCTTTCGCGATCCCTTCTCTCCCACATTCATCTTTGCATACTATCGTCTCAGACTGGCGTCACCATATACGCAACCATACCAAACACAGGGGGTGTTATACGGGATCAAGGGGAAACCGTTTGCGTGGATGGAATATAGTTGCGAAGATCGGGGTGCCGAGAGTGATACCTTGAGCTTATTTTTTACGAACTGTTTTCAGGTCGTCAAACACCTGCGGGTGTAAAAAATGGGCCGAAAAATGGCGGCAAGGGTCGCGCTTTACAGTTTTGGTTATATTTAGACAGGAATACTGAGTGTTGACGGATTGGAGTTTTGAAAGAAAGTGCATTGCTGTATTTAAGCGCTGAAAAATCTCGTTGCTACTAATGCATCGGTGATAGTAGAAAAAGTGACAACCTGGTGCAGAAGCCTATGGGCTTAGAAAGGTGAACGAGTGGCGATTAAAGCAATAGCAAAAAAAGCATGAAATAGTAGGAACATATAAGTAGACCAGGCTGCTAGAAGCAGATAAATTGCTTTTTAAAATTAGAAAAACCCATCGACTCATTAATACTTCGGTTGATAACAAAAATTCCAAGTGAAAACCTGCGGAAAATCTCCTATGAAATACATCTAGATAAACAAAAAAATCGGTAATAACCCACTAGGCAACAAATCAAGTAAAGCTAAAATTTCGCGCTACACCCCCACAACCGCACCACCCCTATTCATAAACATAAATGATGCCGCTGGGCACCATTGAGGACAACACTGGTGACAAATCCCTCCCTTCGCTCCAACAAAATCCGCCACACAAAAATGGCGATGCCAGAAGTGAGAGGAAGGAGGCCATTGAAGGTGGATGGCGTGGGGCTTCCAGGATTAAGGCACCTCTGTCCTCACTCCCACTCAAACTATGGGAACTAATTTTGCAGGAAACCTTAGGGTATCGAAAAGAAAAAGGCACTCAACGATTCAATTTTGGGATGGCATCAATGTGCAAAGTAGTTCTTATTCAGGTACAGATCGAGCGGAAATTTAGATTAGGGTATCGGAATCTGAATGGCGTAGAAAGAACAGATTCAAATCCGTAGATATGCTTTGAATCTGGGAAGCCTTATCTAAATCAGCAACAATTGAATACAGGAGCTTAGGCTATTCAAATCGTGAATCTGAACAATGTTAACAAGTCGAGCTAGGTTTATCTCACTTTGTCAGATTGACTGACTTGAACAAGGGTTTCGGACTAAAATTAGATCATGGGAGTTGAAATTCGAATATTTCGAGCCGAAGTTGCTAATTGGGAATTTAATCAGAGTGACAATCTGAATTTTAATGAAAACAATCGGGGCTTGTAAAAACCGGAAATATCTATAAAGTCATCAGAAACCACGAAGTTGAAAATACCAAAGTGGTGGCCACCCCAAGGGCATTATGAAGACGAGAAAAGCCGTAGGGAAAAGCCGTTGAGTGGGGCGCCTGGTGTGAAATGGCCGATGGAGGGGAAGGAGGGTGGAATGCCATCTGGATGACAAGGGTTGGAACGTCGGCCAGGAAATGGTGGGAATCATCCATCGATTGGAGCACGACGTTAAGTTGCTATTCTTGGAGGCGCTGAGGCAAATGTGGGTATGGATTAGTCATAGGGCGAATGTTTCAAGGTACAGTAACGGAATTTCAGCGAATTATGGCGTTTGGGCCACAAACATTGTGATTAAGCAATTTTTACTCAAAACTTAAACTGTGAATTTCAAAACATTTAGTTGCAAAACAAAAAAATCTTAGCAAATCATTTCGTCATGGTTCTAATTTTTATAAAATTCAAAACAGACAGCACAAAAAGAGGGGTACGGTAGAAACGAGAGTTACCGTAGTTATTCTGATAAGAAAATACATAGAAATGATAAAACATAATAAATTTACCATTGAATCTAAAAAATCAACATATCCTAGTCAAATATTGACAAAAATACCTTGAAAAAGATGGCAAAACTACACAAAAGCGCGGAAGATAGGTTCAGCTTCAAAACAAAAAAAATCCCAATCTGATCAGGATTAACACCCAAAACCCGATAATTCGGATCAATAAAACATACAGGCTTTGGGGAATCCATGGGTTATGGCTATGGGCATGGCAGCCGGGGGCATCGGCAGTGGAGGGTCAGGTCAGATGGCGCAACCTTCCCTCTCCCCCGCTGGCCCTGCCAAAACCCTGTGTCCTGCTCCTCCCCAATCCCTTTCGCCCTCAAAGGACCCCCGGCCTATTCTCAATCTGGGCCCATCCCATAGAACCGTCAACAGTCTACCTAGCTAATCCTTTAGATTAGTTCCCTTCCTGGGTCCGGCAAATCGATAATCACCCACGCGTTCTACAAAATCGTGACACCAATTTACATATTCAAAGCTTGATTAATGGCACAGTGCCTTGGCAAATACTGGAAATTACTCTTGTTCGTCCGGTATGGGGTGAAGGCAGTTCAAAATCTGTCAAAGGGCCATTCCCGTCTTCATTGCATGCATACCTAGCCTACAGTATCCAAAAAGACCATTCCCCCGGACTACAAAGAAAAATCAAACATCCAGCGCCCCTGACATCGCTTCGACAAAAGCTTTTCCTCTACCGACACGACATCTACCCACCGCCCCAAAATCCATATATTACAGCGTGGTCGGCCGAGATCGAAAATGCCGCCGGAGGTGATGAAGGAGGGGCTGGTGAAGGAGGCTGAGTGTCGTTGGGGGGTATGCGTGGTGAGGGCTAGTCAACCAGGAGGAAGAGGACGGGCGGATAGAGGACCGGGATCCAGAACGAGGAGGAGGATGCGAATCCGAAGCGATGGGGAGCCACAATCTACCCTCATGTGCTCCTCTATCCACCTCCACCTCCCCCACCGGTGCTACCGTTTTCCTCGAGCCCTCCCGTGCATTGGAAAAAAACGGATTTCCCCTGGAGACTCACCCGGTTGGACAGTCTCCATCCACATACAACAGTGGACAGACAGACAGACAGACACACACACACACACCGGGGGGTCAGTTATGCGCAGCTGGCCTCGATCGGGGGGTGAGGACGAACCGCTAGGCGGGAAAAAGGCCAATAGGCTCGCGCTCACTCAGTCGACTCGATGCTCAAACTCGGTCGTAGGTATTGGTGAGTTTAAAGGGATGTAGGTGGTGAGATATCAGGTCGTGGATCGTGGGAGGAAGGTTTGTACAGGTTGCAGGTTGCAGGTGACATACAGGTTGCTCCGCAAATTTCGATGTGACCAGAATCACTTAAGGAAAACAATCAGCTAGAATGTTGAACCCGAGACTGATATAGCATTTTCCTTGATCACGTATCTGAATATAAAGATGCAGGGCAATTTCTCATCATATAACAAAAAAATACGAAAAATAAGCGATTTCCGCGGTTTTAGCATCAAACTATGCGCCATAGATTTTCAATGTTTAACGTTTTCAATTTTTTTTATTGCTGGTTTATCGCGGATAAGTCTGGATTACCAATTGTAAAATCCTACCGTAATCCAACGTCGCCGATAATCCCTCCAACCCACTGTAACTCATACTGTAGCTTCTTCCCGCCTCCTATACCATACACTTTACACTCGCGTCATGAAAATCTGTTGAAAGCCCTTATCTCCTCGCCGATCTACTCGGCATCGACCTTCTCCTCCCCTCAATCCCGACTCACCCAATGTCAATTTACGACCCCCGGGGTCCCGCCGCGCCCCCCTGGCTACGACACCCCCATATGAGGCAATTAGTACGCCTCTGGGACCCGACGGTTACAAAAACCGGGGCCAAATATCGACTACTAAGGGCCCACTGAACCCTACAATGCCCCCGAAAACTGCTGCAGACAAGAAGAAGGCCGAGCAAGACTTTCTGCAAAGTGGGTTTGACGATAACAACCGAAATAACCGTTTATATTTCAGATTTGGTTGTGGATCTCCTGCGCGATGAAGAAAACAAATACTGTGCGGATTGTCAGGCCAAACAGCCGCGTTGGGCGTCGTGGAACCTCGGAGGTATGGGCTGTCTAGGGCTTAATATATTTTTCTAGTTTTTATATGCATCAAATGTGCGGCCGTCCATAGGAATCTTGGAGTTCACATCACTAGGGTGAGTCATATTGCAAAGCTATAATTGTATTTAGGTTAAATCGATAACTTTGGATACATGGACCCCGGAACAAGTGCAGCACATGCGGATGATAGGCAATGCTTTGGTAAGCAAATTAATACTTTTTTGCGTGATCATTTAATAGAGTAATCACCATTGCAGGCTAGAAATTATGATACATTTCATTACAGGCTAAAGAAGCGTACGAGTATGAACTTTCCGACAATTTCCGGCGCCCCACGACAGACCAGGCCCTTGAACAGTTCATCCGCGCTAAATATGAACACAAGAGGTATCAAATAATCTAAAACATGTAAAAAACACTATCAGGTATATGCGAAAAGACTGGAGGCCCCCAACCATTGATATTAGTCTACTCCCGAAATATGGTGACAAGCCAGAACGCCGATTCCCAAAAATAGGTTGAAAATTACGGTAGTTTGTATGTTTTATATGCTTAGACATCACAAGCCGACCAATCCAACAATCCAATCAAGACGAGAGTCGTGTTCGACAAGTCAACAAACCAGTGAATGCGGTAATTAAAGATAAAGTAATTCGTATGACCTTTATGAGCTTTAGGCGACAACATCCGTGAGCTTGTTGGACTTCTCGGATCCGGTGCCAGCAAGCACGAATGCTCCTGTGGCAGCTGCGGCAGCGCCACAAACTATTAGCAATGATCTGGATGATCTGTTTGGCCCAATTGTATCTGCTGCTCCGACTTCTAATGTTCAAGCTGCTGCTCCGGTCACGCAGAACGCGCCGGCTGCTGCTCCACCATCACAGGTGTGTTGCTATGGCGCTTAGTAATAGGGAGTTCACTAAAACTGGCACTATCGCACAGCCACGAAAAGATGGAATTTTTATCCTTTAGAACAACGACTTTGCTGGTCTTTCCTCCGACCTGGCAGGCTTGAGCTTCAGCAGCCAACCAGCCCAAAAGAGCAACAGCGACATCATGGCCCTATTTGCTACTGCGCCACAGGTAGACAGACAACCGGAAGTATGAGACGTTTTTTTAGAAGCAACTGACCACCCAGTCCTCAACCAACCTCGCTCAGCACAACCAATTTGATGCTTTTGGAGGAATGGTAATTTCGTCTTACAAATTTTATGAACTTTTATTAAGCAGCAAAGCACCAACTGGATGCCGTCTTTTGGCAATCAGCCAATGGCCCATAGTGTTGCCGGGACTCCGAGCAGTGTGGGTGGGCAGACTGCAGGTTTCCCAGGAGCTAGTAAGTCTGGAAATATCACGGCTGGAATACCACACCAAATTTTAGCTTTCCATATCATCACGTCTTTTTAGTGCCCGGCTTCAATACACCACAGTACCCAACTACGTCACAGCCGGATGCTTTTTCAGCCTTTGGGGATCTGGGGAGTTTCGCCGCGGCTCAGAATTTTAATGTTCCAAAGCCCAGCACCGGGACTACGAATATTGATCTCGATAGTCTGTTTTCGTAGATTTTTATGCACATTTTTGCAGCGCTAAAATAAGGATCAGGAGATTATATAGCGTTATTTTCTCAACCAATTCCCATCTAGTCACGCCCAAAATTGTATATAGTTTGTAGATAACAGGTTTCGGATTTACTCAAATAACCTATCCAAATTTAAATTTTAGTCAGCGGAACTTGACTAGTTTTTACGTGGTGTAACTTGCATGACTGACTATTGTATCACACGGCTTTCCATGCCATATCCTTTTTCTGCTATATTCCCATAGACTTTTACTTCTTTCCCCCCAGCTTTATCGGCCAAAAAAAATTTATCTAAAAAGTTGTGTAAACCACTGTGATTCCTCAGTTCTGGTTCAATCAAACCAATGGTTGTGATGTCTTCAGTTTTATTTCACATTCCGTGCTTAGCCGAAATAAATCAATATGAGTGTTTATTAAAATACCCAAAGCGCACATAAACCACATCAGCACCTATTTGGTAGAAAGTGATAACTTTGCCTTTTCCCTGATGGCAGGTTTTGGCTCTGCAATGGAGGGACGATTCCAGGCGTTATTTAAAGTATTGAAGTACATCTCGCCTTCCGCATGTTTTTGGATGACCTCAATTTGTTTCGTTCCTAAATTTGCTCATAAAAAGATCATCAGAATGGTACTTACTTGCACGTAATGTCATTTCCAGCACAATCGGCATAATTGAACCATAGAAGGGAATTATACAAACGGCTTCCAAAAACATCGTATGCGTTACGGTAGTGCCGGAAGGAAAGATCTAGAAAAATTTTGGAAATTTGTACGCTAGCTTACCACGTAGAATATTGATAAGCCAAAAGAAGTAATAAAAAAGAAGACAAAGTGAATGTAGAATATAGGGAGCAGGATGATGATAATTTTCTTGTTTTCTTCAATTTGGTAGCGATTTGAAAGTGCCAGAATTTTTCTTGGAGCTAGCTTTCGAATATTAACATATAGAGTTACGTTGAATATGAAGATTATTAGAACCTCAGGAATTACCTCGGCGTACATCATCACCTAAATCTAATGGTATAAAAACTGTTTACTACGTGCTCTAGATCAAAGCACAATTGCTCTTCTTCCTGCACTGCATATGCAAACCCTCCAGGCTCCAGACACCAACGAGCTCCAAGCCAAATTCAAATTAGCAACCTGATATCGGTCCTCGTTTTCCGCGGAGCGCACGGTGAATGCGACTACGCTGCGATCCCATTGACTTCCCGGTGCGAGTAGGGTATATGAGAAGAGGAAGGAGAGCACAATCTAAAATAGCTGTTGCTCAAAAAATAAATTCCCTTCGGGAAAAGCGCGGGCTGCAACAGCACGTTTATCTCATTACGCGCGCCAATCCCAATAATCACATCCGTACGTTCAAAAACTGACCGTAACTAACAACAAAATTACCCCAAAACGGTACGATTTCGTTCGCTCATATTCAACTGGGTAATAAGTTGAATACAATCTAAAATATTGAGTTTGGGAAGCAATGCAATGCTTACCGTTCAATCGCAATAGAAGCAATTGTATAAATTTGACCAAACAACCCAAATATAGCCGTTATTCTTATGTTGAACACAAATGAAAATGACATAAGATACGCGCAGGGGTCTGACGCGTCGGATAAATATCTATTAACGATTATATTTATGGACTGGGTAAGCTTATAAAATTACCTATAAATATCAAAAACGTGAATAAAGAGAAAGACGGCGTTGGCTAGGCATGTGAAGAAAATATGAAACCCGAAGAGGAGACGGGTATTGTGATGGACCAGCCATCGTAGCCCCTGAATTTGAGGTATAGCTAAATTTATCGAGTTAATACCCGCTTTCGAAAAACCATAGGCATCGTAATAAAGCAGCCGGCACATCCAAATGATTGTACGATTAAGATAACTTTCATTGTGATGCTATTTGAGAGGACGGCTGCATTTTCACAGAGATCGGAGCTGTTCATCTGAAAACTGGAATAATAGAACGGCGATTACTTATTCTATGGCGATTTGTTAGTTTTGCTATTTTAAACTTCTGAAAATTTTGGGTTTTACGCAAAATGATAAATACAGTACATTCTATTTTTTCTTACAACTGAAATTGTGGAACAGAGAGAGGGGGGGGAGGCAGAGTGCGATAAAGAGAAAGAAAGTGAGAACGTTTGATCAACTAAATTGCTTGGCATACAATCTAAAATCTTCAAACCAGTGACACAGTTCTATGATCCTTCTCTTAAGATTCTAACTATCCATAAAACCATCAAAACCCCCAATTTCGTTCCCAACAACGAATAAACCCCCCTTCGAAGCCGGACCAAATTAACGCTCACGGAAACAGATAACCCCCGGTTGCAGCCCCCCCCCTCGACCAAGATGAAGCCCCCGCTCTATGGCCCTGAAAACCCAATTATAAACCGTGTTCGATTTCCGCGTATTTGACGCCCCGCCCGACCATATACCACATCCATCAGCAAAACCAACAGCCAGAGAATATTTTTGCGTAGAAATGGCCAATTCGCATGAATGACCACTTTGGGATAGGGGGAGGGCCTTTGGGGGCCAAAAATGTCGTCAGTAGGGAGTTCGAGGAGCGGAAGGGGCAGCTGGGATTAATCTAGGGTGGGCCAGGTCAAGCGTTGGTCAGGGTTCTCAATTGTTGCAAATGGAATCGAAGCAAAAATTTGGAAAAAAAATGACAAGAGTGGTGTTTAGCACCTATAAAGCTGCCAAAGGGACCGAGCCTAGCTTCAGCTAAATTTTTTGCTTATTCAGCGTGTTGGAATCTGCACAAAAGTAGAGTGAAAATAATGAGGATACGTTAAGCTGCGAAAAAAGCCCTTCAAAATCGATAAATTTCAGTCGCCACTTAGGGCGCAGAAAATGCGCAGAAAATCCTGCGCAGAAAATGCCTTTAATAATTTTTAGACCGAAATTCCTGTGACATACATATGTAATACCACCAAAAACAGATATATGACTGCTCGGACACGTTGAAATCTATCACCATATAAAATCGGCCCAAGGAAGTTTAATTGGGTTCAATTTTTTAAGCCCCAATACCAACACAAGACCACACCTCCAGACTGCCCGAACACGTGGCTCCAACTCCCCCATGGAAATCGGCAAAATCTCGGAATGATGGGCGCGTCTTCTGTCCCTCGTGCTGGTAATAAGAGGCATGGCCTTCCTGGCCGGGGCCTGAGCATGGGAAATATGAGATACCCAAGAAGGATCAAATTGGCGCACTTCAAGAAGCCACCACATCCCACGATGTCTTATAGGTCGACCCGACGGTGGCTAATTATCTCTACACGGCTGCCTCGACATGCAAAAGCATCGAAGTAGAATCTAGGGATTTTGCGAATATTCTGATTTTAATCAGAATATCTCCTAAATTTCTTGAGGAAACGGAAGGAACTCTATAATAAATCTGATTACTGGATAGCAAAATTTCTGAAAGAGCTCATGAAAAGAAATATCGATACGTTTTTGACAAACACTCTGCACCATAGATGAAGGTAAACTCGAAGGGGCCCTAATTTTGCCAGCCAAAAGATCATAAGGCTCCAAAACGATCCCGCGGGAAAATCTACCACTAATAGGTGAAGCGTTCACAAAACTGGGCTCAAAAATTACGAAATTTGGAAAAGTTGTAAAAAAGTTTGATACGATGAAGAAAAGAAGATGTTTGCACTAAAAAATTGTCATAGAAAACACTCGTAACTGATAAAACGTAGATTTAGAGCTCTGCGATTCTGATTTTATTTCAGCAGGGCTAACCCTAAAAAACGAGTCAAGGATGCGGCAGTTCATCCAGAAGAGTGAAAGCAAATACCGTCCCTTTTATCCTGCACCCAATGCCCCGGTCGAACACATGGAGTGCCGGGAATCGAACGGATTGATCCACAGAAAAATCTATGTATGAAAATCGGGAGAAGAACAGATAATTAGCCACAAAAAAAACAGAGACATTTTTGGAGGCAGCATAACAGACTTTAAATTTGGGGTGCGTGCTTAATTGGAAGCTAGAAAAAGCTGACAAACCAACCTACGCGAAAAAACAGAATGTAAAATATTTCGGTACCGTATTTGGTATTGAGTATCTGTATATATACAAATACTAACTTTGTAAAGGCGAGCTGGTTAGCTAGGTTTTTGGTCAAAAATGATCCATCAGTTTTTACCAGACACCTAACAGGCTTGATGGCCCAAAATCGGGGTGGGAGTGGGCAAGTTTTTCACATGAAATTGTCGGCTGTTCATCGAATAAAACCAAAAATCGATCCAATTAAATTAAATTTGAGATCTAAGATAATTTCCGAAGGACGCGGCTTGCGAAACGCAACAGCCGGCCGTTATCATAATTGGAGGGTGTGAAGAGGGTAATAAAACAAGGGTAGCGCTGCGTTTACATTGCTCCAAGCGGCACGGGAAATGAGGAACATGTTTTCATTCGGGCTGACAAACACATGAAATCAGGAAAACAAGATCAAATACAAAATGAATAAAATAGGTTTCTGTTATTTTTAAGTATACAACCTTATTATGAGTTTTTCTGCCACTTACCCGTGCCAACCCGTCGTCACCAAAGTAAGGCATCTCCTTAGAAAAAGCAAGGGTTGAAAGCGTAGAATTTTAACGCATGAAAGATACTTTAAGCCATTTCGCTCAAAACAATCACATTAAAATATAACGACATTGCCGCGTCCGGCAAAACCCGGAAGCAATCCAAAAAACGACTAGCACTCACCCATTCCCAATGTAGGTCCGCCATCTGGTAGAAACACAGCAGCCGTTTCGCTCAACGCTTAAAGCTTTTCGGGCGAATAAATTACACCAACGTCGCCGGGGGTATACGCTCGACGATGCGTCCTGAATTTTTTTAGAAGTGAGGTGAAAAGAGACCTAATAAAATGTCTATTTTCTTGATATTGCTTTGTTATGTATCTAAGCTGCGGAGGGTGGCAAAATCTGGAAAGATTTATATTGTTCCAAATGCAGCGGCCCGAACCAAAGCATGAAAAATACGCGAAAATTCAGCCCGTCTGACCGTATGCTTCCCCTCCAATTAATAGGAATTTTAGATTTTCAATCCCTTTCCTTCCCCCAAGGTTAGTTCGGTTATATTCCCCCTTCAAAGCCGCCGTCCGCACGCAATTTACATATCGTCTCCACATAACGTGCCGTATATACGCGCGTATCCTAAAAAACGACCGGCACCCAATTTCGTGGCTGGTTGATGAGGGATGGTGCTCTTCAAAAGCCCATCCCCCGGGCTGAATGTTGCATTTGGCGACTAATGACGGACGAGTGGGAGGCGAACGCCTGTCAGCCATATCCGCGAGGGTTTTTTTTGGGACGTTTCTGGTCTGGGTTGGACACATTTCTGGCTTAATTGAGCGCCGTCTCTGCGTTTGGCAAAAATGTTCGATGGCTGCTGAATATAAGCCAATTAGTCATTTTAAGCTATTTCTACAGCCTTGAAATTATTAATATTAGAAAGCGACTTCAAATGATTAAGTGACGCGACAAAAGTAGCTAGAAGAAAAAGCTAGTCGTTTCTGGATGCCTTTGTTTTTTAATAGCGCCTTTCCTCGAGATGACCTTTGATGTATGAATATATGAACAATAGCGAATACAGTAAACAATTATCAGCTGCAAATACTCTTTCCCCGATTCAAACCCCGATTTTCAAAACTACAAATGACTCTGATGCACTAAGGAGCACATGGGAATGTCCATACTAAATACGTTTTTCATGAGAATTTACCCGTGACCCTTAATTTTGATATTTCGATTCTAGAACATTGTTGACAGATTGCAAATAGAACGATATATCACGTATTCTTCTAATTAACCTCTAACTCTGTAGAATAACAGCTAAACAAGGCCTGCTTACAAAGTAACAGTGAATGGATGAATGGCAATCAATTATTCTATTCAAAAAGGAGGTCTAATCCTAAATGCCAAGCCATACGATTAAAAACAAAATTGTCGTCGGCAGACAAACTACAACGCCCACAGCTGAAGGATGGAAAGTGGCATTTTGAGTCGATAATTGATGGGTTCGGGGAGTGTAAAGGGAATGTATGGTGGTGTTGGGTCTGATTAATGGTTATGTTTTGTTGCAGTGAGTCTGTGTTTCATCAAGTGCAATTTGGAATTTATTGGTTATAAACGGGCACAAAAATTCGGAGATGAAATACAACAAATAACCTTTTTTGCAGAAAAGTAAACATTTAATCTCCAGAGTTGAAGGTTGAAGACAGTGCACTCGCCTTCCCAAATCATGGCAGTCTGTGGAATTGTTCGTATAAAGCTATAGAATTTTATTGGAATTACGTACTGTCAGGTACTAGCTTACGCGTTATAGCTTTACTGTATGTTTGCAATAATCTGTGTATTTTTTCACAATTTTGATCTCCGTTTTGGTTCGACTTGATGGCGTTTTCTAAATTTCCATACGCAGCAATTCTATTTGCATAACCGCAAATTCTATGCTTTCTGCCAATTTTCTGAACACATCCCTAAATCGTCATTTGATTAACCTCCGGACTCAACAAAACTCCGAATTTGCGCCCACCCTACCCCCCACACACACATCTCATTACATTTCTGGCAAATAAAACGCGAGCCGCGCGGCTTGAAAGGATGGTTTTGGGGCGGCGGGAAGAGAGCAACTTCCCACCACATCATCGGGGCACACAGCGATGGGCCCGGCCATCAACTTTGAAGTGGCGCCTCGGGCGAAATTCAAGCCGACGGGCCTGAATGGCTGAAGCGACGCGGGGGCCTTGCCATGGCCAACGAGGGTCTCCAGAAGAAGCAGCACAAGAAGAGGAAGAGTGTGTGAGGAGGGCAGTTGCGCTTCTTCTTCTTCTTCTGCTCTTCCCCGACCGGGTTGAAGGTGGAATAGGGGGTCCGGCCGGGGCAGTGCGTTGGCCAGTCGTTGTTGGCTTCGCCT